CACGGATCAGAAAAAAATCTGTGGGGAAAAAATCTTTTTTCACAAAGGATCTCGATGTACAATCTCTGGTCTTGTAATATAATATAACGTGTCTATGTATAAAAATTTTTTTTCTAGAAAAAAAAATAAAAAAAAACAGGAAAATCACACGGTAAAGAATCTGAAGAATCTTTCCTATGAGGAAGAGGAGAGAAAAAAAAAAAAAAAAAAAAAAAAAGGGAAAACCCCCGGGAAAAAAATGGGAAAAATCTTCCCTGGGGGGAAGGGGAGGAAAAAAAAAAAAAAAAAAAGAAAAAAGAGGAAACATGTTAAAGTAAATTGCGTAATAAAATGGTAAACAAAGTCGCTATTGTTATTCATTAATTAGGCATAAATCGAATAATTACACGAAAAAAAAAAGAATAGCCACGATGAGTCAACGAGATCGTTTTCTGTGGACATTGATTCTGACTAATTAGGATTAAAGAGGTGGTTATCGACGACGGCTCCATACCGTCCATAAGCCTCGATCGACAGGATCGATTAACAACGATGACTACGATGTTTTGAACAATGAAATTGAGGAGAATTCGCATCGTGAAAAAAAAAAAAAAGAAAGAAAGAAAGGAAGGAAAAAAAAAGGAGATAATAGCAGAGAAACATCGCATACGAGAGGGAATAATAAGTATAATAGCACTGATTTAACAGCGCACTCGAGAATGTGTGTGAGAACAATGAATGCAAGAATTTCGAGATTTAGTTGCTTGTTTACAAATATTTATCATAATATTCGTGATAAATTATTATTAGGGTCGAAGCAGATGGAGGTTGTAAAAAAAAACGCAAGAAAAATTGCGTGAAATTAGTGGAATTGGTGTCTACGTGTCGAACGACGTTTTCTTTTGTTTTTTTTTTTTTTTTAATATGGATGCATTTTTTTCGTTAAAAAAACCGAGTTATTTTATCATTTTATTTAAACAAATTAATTTAAACTCTTAGATACTTGCTTAAATTAATGCCTCACGGTTGTACAGAGGATGATCGTCGATTAAGATTTGTTCAACGAGGCAGATTTTAATAGATTTTAAAATATCTTTTCTTCAATTGTAATTCTTCGGTTCAAGAAATTTATTAAAAAAGAAAAGAAAAAAAGAATCAGGGGCCATTTTGCACAATTAGAACGTTTCCCAACAATGTTTTCGCAAGATAGAACGATAAAAAGCTCTACTTTTCTTCTACTAATTTACCGCTAATTAGCTACCATCCTCTTATGAATCGCAATGAACGCGATTTCAAATCGCTATTGCGTGTTAAAGATCGTTTAACGTTCGACTTCTTGGCGCGAAACCAAATTATTCACGTAAGAAAAATGATTAAACGATGAAAAAAAGTTAAAAAAAAATACGAAAAATTTCTTAATAAGGAATTAGAAATCCAAAAAATAAAAAATTGAAATAACATTGACATCTAGTCTTTGCTTTGCTATCGATGTCTTATTTAATTAATATTCTCTTAATATCGATGAAAGTACAAAAGAAAAAAAAATCTACATTTTAACCTTTTGGATCGTTATAAAATAATTAATTTATCTTTTTTTTTTTATTCAACTATTTTTTTTTTAACAATCCGTTATTGACATAATAACATAGAATTTTGATAATAAAATTATTTCTGAAGAATTGAGTAACGGAAATCGTATATTATGACTCATGCTCGGCTGCCTGTTGAACGTATAAGGATTGAATTAAAAAAAGAAAATTATTACAATGTTAAATTGTCCAAAAGATCGTAGATCTAGTATTATAAAATATTTTTTTTAATTTACATTTAAATATTAGTTGTCGCGATAAGAAATTTTCACATAAAAAAAAAAAGAAGGAACGAATTTTCATATATTTGTTTTTAATATCGTGGTATAATAAAGCAAGTTTGAAAACTATTGTCCAATAGTATAGAATTTAATCTCGTTTTTTTTTCTAATTTATTTATTGATTATTTATAATTTTCATGATTTTGCAAACACCAAAGAGAAGATACCTGTTGTACTAATAACGCGTATTTAAACGGAAATTATTTATTTATGAAAAAGAAAATTTCATTGTTGTTCGCTATCTATCAAACGTCGTTCATTCGAGTAGACACCTATCAATTTGTATCTGTAAAAATCTGTATATGTTATTGTATGTAGTAGCATCTACGCTATTTGACCGTATATAAGGGGAAAGCTAATCGCGTAGCATTGTCCATGCATTTATTTGCCTGTTAGTTTTCTGTTTTCAGACCTAGCATCGAAATACGTATGTAATTCTAATAATAGTATAATAAAGGAAAGAAAATGGGATAAAGGATACGGAATATTTCGATGACAGAGAAAATTTCAGGGTCTGTATATAGTAATCTCTATCGTTCAAGCTTTATGTATGCATTCATTATATGCATGTGGATAGATAATTAGATATTTAAATATTTCGAATTTTCGATTCGAACAATTTTATCGAAAATCGAATATTCGAATAAAACTTGCTCGATTTATTTGGAACAAAACGATGAGCTCAAATATTATCGAATAAAAAATTGTATATTATTCGATAATTTTCGGATATTTACACGATTTTATAAAAATTAATCGTTATATACTTATTACATGTAAATTAAAATATTTTTTTCTTTCTTTTATTTTATTTCTATTCATTGACAAAATGTAGGGGAAAAATTTAAAAAAGTTTAAATGTATCGTTCGGATTCGAATAAATCGAGATTATTTAAATACTATTACAATTGAAATAGAGATGAATTTTTGATCATGGTTATTCGATTGATCGAACAATTTGAAGTATTATATATAGCCGAATAATAATTGATTATTCGTATTAGTTCGATAAATCGAGTTCTCGACTCGAAACGAATTGAAAGTAATTTTATTCGAATAGAATTTCGATTCTTTTCGAATTTCGAATTTCGAAATCGATATAATTCGATAAAATGTGTTTCAATCGACTTCGAGTAATCGAATAAACTTTGAGCGCTCTCGAGCCTCAAGTGTTTGAACTTTCAACGCAATGTGTAATACTCCACTGATATATGTACAATCCTTGATTATTTAAACTTAACATTTAAAATTTTTCACGAGACTTTCACACTGTCGAATAGTGAAATGAATATAGGAAAAATAAATCATCAGAAGAAGAAGTGAGGAATCGAGCGGAAAAATAATTTAAGAATAAATTTAAATTTAAATTTGATATCTTAACAATTTGTTAATTAGAATTTTATATTAAAATGTATAGAATGGAAATGTTAAAAATAATCGATCATTGATTTAATCGATATCGATAATTATTTTTAAGTGTTAATTTTTAAGTATTTTAATTATATATAAACTTTCGATTCGATTAATTGTTAAAATTAATTTACACAGAAATAACGTCAAAAATAATTGAAAATATTTTAAAAATTTATATTCTGCAAGATTCTTACTTTTCAATTTAAGAATCATCGTATCGAAACGATGAAGGTTATAAGCTCGACGCAATATTTTATAAAGATAAAATTTTAGTCAAGAAAAAAAATCTAAATTCACGTCACTATTCGGTGCAAGAAAATTAATGAGATCAAGAAACGACATTTAATGACAATTATTATACTTTAGTCGAATATTTATCATGTATAACGTGATTTAAGAAAAAATAACAACATATATCTATATGTATTACAAAATATTCTCTAATCGAAGATGCCCGAATTGTGATACGTTTATAATGTTTATAAGCCGATACTTATTCACGGAAGAAATTGTTTTAATGAAGGCTTCTGATTTAGCAATCGTTTCGCAATGTCGTTTAAACATCTCTACGATAATTTGCATCGATCATTTCTCACATCTGGTTCTTCACATCTGATTATTGTACGTATATATGTATATTCGTTGTTGAACAAATGCATTGTTGAATGCATCATATTTTATCGAAATATCGATACGATTGTTATCTCAAATGATATGATGAACTATATATATAACTACGTTCAAAATAATGAATTCAAAATAAATAATATAATAATAAATTCAAAATAATGAATTGCAAAATTTTTTAAATATTTAATCTGGAATATATTTATACTATATTTAGATCATTTTTTAGAAAGATTAATTGCATTTTATAAAAAGTAATAAATTATTATATGATCAATAATTTCAAAATATAAGTTTTATATATTATAAATATATTGTCGAAATAATCTCTTAGATATAATATTGCAACATTTTCTTCCATGAATAAGCATTGTGTATCTTGTTAAACAATAAAAATTATTCAGACGAATTCACACACTATTAAAATACGTGTATGAATTTTTAATTCGACGTCTGTATACACATGTTAAGTAAAATGTAAAAGAAAAAGAAGACGTTAATTGAGAATAGAATTGAACAACACTAATGAATATTTTAAAATTTATATTAAAAAGAATTTTCTTAACTAACACTATCAATTTCAAATAATTTTATAAAAATATAGAAAAACAAATTAAAATTAAAAAAAATATTTAAGTTAAATATAATTTCATTTTAATCTTGCTATTCTTGATTAACGTCGTGACATGTATTTTAATGCTCGATGTTGCGAAAAATCGCGATAAACAAAATTTCTCGATTGAAATCGAGGAAGCGATAGAGAACAACTTTAAATAATGTAGCTCGATGAAAAAAATGGGAACGTATTTAAAAATCAGATAGAAAGAAAAAATAAGAAACAAACAATGATTTACTTTTTTCAATTTTAATTGAGCCAAATATAAAACAATGAACATTTCATCATCCGCCAACGGATAAAATGAAATTAAAATTGCGCATGTGCACGAGTCATGTGTTTGTGAAGAAGCAATTATCCTAAAGGAATCGCGCATAAGAATTACTTTGATGTTTTCGTTGAAAATAAAAAAAAAGAAATAAAATTCCGATGTATTTACGAGGTAGATAATAAATAACAACAACAATAATAATAATAATTAATAATAATAAATAATATTTAATTATAACAAAGTAATAACAATATAATAATAACATTATTATTAATATTAATATAATTATAAATTAGTTGCAGCTTTCTGTGTAAGGTTATTGTGATATCTAAAAAGAAAAAAATAATAACTTTACCGTAGCGATATAAAATTAATTCAGAATTAAGAATCTGATATTTAGTGAACAAAGAAAAAATGAATAATCAGTATATCGACGGGGCTTTTGAATGATGCCTCTCCGAGATCGATTCAATATGATATCATATATAATTATATATATGAATTATATATACGAATAAATAAAGAAAAAAAAAAAATAGCGATCCGTGAGTGGCCGCGTCTCTTTTTTTTTTTTTTTTTTCGTCACTTTCTTCACGAACGAGGTTAAAACGACAATCTTAGGCCTCGTCAAAATACTGCCGGATACATGAGGACATTCCGAAAATCGATTGTAAAGTAACAAGCTGAAAATTTTTTTGCAATTATAACTTCAATATCAATAACGGGAAAAAACAAAATGGTGATGAAAAAAAATGGTGAAGAAAAAAATTTTTGCGATCCGTTCGATTATTCGGAAAGTCCATTTTGCATCTGGATCAATCCGTCCATAACATGTCTCATGCTGAGGCATTTGCACAAATGCGTGCATATTAATCATTGGGACTACAAAAACATATCATCATATGTAATGATAATGATACCGCATATATGTATANTTAATGTTAAACTTAATTATCATTAATTAATTATTAGATTGTGAAAGAATTTCTTCAGGTTCTAAGCAAGATTTGGAAATAATAAAACAAGTAAAATATATAGTTTCAAGTATTTTTTTACTGTTCCCTATTTATTATCCTTATTTATTATTGTTATTATATATATTAATTCTTTTTATTTCAAAATTTTAATTGTTTATTTAAAATTTATTTAAAAATCAATTAATATTGTAGCACAAATTAATTTTATTTATAATTAATAAAAAAATTCGTTCAATATAAAAATTTATATTGTAAAAATATACCATGTATGTATATGTATACTTACATGCATTTTAAATTTCTCATATTGGCTATACGATGGCGCTAGTGAAGAAAATTACTATTTCACATAAATTTGGCGGTAATCTAGTATCGGTAACGTAATTATTTAGATACAAATTATTTCATTAAATTTAATATTTTTTAATTAAAAATGGTTTATAAAAGTGAAGAAAAATGCAATGATTTATATATAAAATCAGAAAAAGAGAATTCACAAGTATTTGAAAGAAAACGAGCTCAATATAAAGATCTTTCAGAAAAGTTCGCAATAACAAAAAGTGATTATTCTAAACAATTTGCCCATATATATTCTGCTAGACTTGCTGAATTAAGAGATATTTTAATTCCACGTGTCCAAACTAAATGGGGTATGTTATTAACTTTTCTTTTGTGAACAATATATATTATCAGGGTTATGATATTCATACAATAAAAGATATATGCAAAGATTTGTTTATGAATAACATCTATATTTTTTTTTT